TAGCCTGGTTCACAACCGCTTTTTAAAATGCGCTGTGTAGCACCGTTTTTTGAAACACTTATAAGAAACACTAATAATAATCGTAAAAGATATACCCTTGTTCAAGTCCTCTTGTTCTTGCAATGCAGTTCAGAATAAGTTACAGCTCAATCACCATGGCTAGAAAAGAATGTAACAGAAAATAATTAATCTCTTGTGAACAATGTAACAGAAAAGAAGAGTACTACTCTGTTTAAATTGGCGACAAGACAAACAAGCTATAACGACAATCAGAAGGAAATGATGCACAGGAGAGGGCTTACCCCTTTTGTCCTAAAATGCTCGCCAAAGATTTGCCAGGTATTCTGGAGAAGATAGAAAAATCAGCTAGGCCGATGATAAAAAATTAAGAAACAAGAACATGAGTAACGGACGGAGCAGAGAAGAAATAACAACAAATAAGCAAGTAGTACCGGTTCTTTGAGGTAGCCCTCCTTGAAACAGAAAATTGCAAAGCCAGAGGGCGTCTCAAACAGTACCAAGATTATATCTCCATAGTTGGCCAAGCTGGGATCTGCAAACATGCATGTAGTAATAAGAAAACTTAAGAAACCTAACTCGCGGATGGAGGGAAGGGGAGTCTGTGGGATCGATCGAATCCAAGTCGAAAATGGCCTCGATCGCCAGATCCATCTATCCACAGCCGCTCTAGAAACCACTCTAGAAGTCTAGGTCTAGGGTTTGCTTCCTCATCCTAAAACGTACGCTATGAGTTGAGTTGATGGCATTTTGAATTTTTGATAGATAGAGGAGGATAACATCACATTTCACATGTACATATACGCTATGATAGTAAAAGAAGAATTCTCCGTCACTTTCTTTCCTCTCTGCGTGTGCGTCGTCGCTTTCGCTTGCACACTAGCGCCAATCCCCGCCACTGGAGGAGGAGGCGACAAGGGCCGCGTCGGCGCCCCATCTAGGTCAAGGATCGTCGATACCGGTAGGTACGTACTGGGAGGAGATGCGGCCGTGGGGTGGTGGGCCCCTTTATTTTATTTCTCTACTCCTAATGGACGAATTGGTTGAATAGTCCCTCCACTTTCAACCGGTTTATTTTCAACCGGTTTATTTTTAACCGGGTTTTTCTCATCAAATTACCCCCACCCCCACGCCCACCCACCGAAACACGCCCAGCGAACCGGGGAGAGATCCGTTGATTTGGCTAAGGTATGAAAGAATCTATTATTTGTTTGCTAAAGTAAATTGCATTAATGAAAGAGATCTGTTGATTTGGCTAAGGTAGAAAAGAATTTATTATTTGTTTCCTAAAGAAAATTGCATTAATGAGAGAGATTTGTTGATTTGACTAAGGTAGGCGGTTTTTGCGGTTCTTGGCGGCTCAGTGTGAGATGGGGCGAGGTACAAAAAAATATCATGGAAGGTGAGACGGAAAAGAACCTGGGAGGTGGGAGTTGTCCCTGGTTAACCTACGAAATTTCATAGATTTTTTTAGGACGAAAAAACCAGTGGAGGTGGGACGAAAATTGGCCGGCGGAGACTACCACCTCCCACTACTGACTTTTTTTCGTCCGGTTTTATTTCATCCCACCTCCCACTGCTGACTTTTTTCTTAATTAATAACTCCACCCTCCTGCTGGTTTTTTTCTAATCTAATTCAATCTATTGATCCTTCCTTAGTCACAATGCACTTACATGTAGCCCCGACAGATCGGTTTCCATATGAAATAAAACACAATCATCAATCAATCCTTGGTTCTCTTTTATAGGACTTGTTGCCATACATGAACCATACGATAACTTCCATATACAAAATAAAGGGAAACACAATCAGGTTTCCTTCCTTTCCAAAGTTCTAGCCACCGACCCCCTCCCCAGACCGCGTTCATTTTCCCATGCCACCATCGACAATCTGCTCTCCCATTTCCTCGTCCTCCCCACGTTGTGAAGTTCCAACGCACAACTACACAAACACCAGTGACATAGAAAACCACCGCCTCCTCCTCCGCGCCACCGCCTACTCTATTTTCCCCCTCTGTGTGGCGACCTGAATGGAAGGCGGTGGATCTGGGATGCGCCTGGTTCCACAAGACGTCAGGCGTAAGGAAGGATGGAAAACCACCGGCTGGATGGCCAAGGGTGGCCCATTGAAGGTTTGAAACCTCCTATGGCGTAATTTTGTGCAACCTGCATGAAGATTGTAGGAGCTATCCATGTGGTCGTTCCATCGGCAACAAGTACGTATTGGATAGCACTTAATTTGAAATTCTTGACGGAGTTGACTGACCATGACTTTGACTCTCACAATGTTGCATGTTCTTCGGAGTTGACTGGTGGCGTTTTTAGGTTATTACTACCATGAAGATGAGAGGAACATCGAGAAAAATCCTTTCCCTAAAAAATGGATGGGAGGAATATCTTGGTCTATGATTTCATGATGAATAGGACCCTGAGAAAGCAGTGGATGATGCCCCGTTGAATCTCTTTGAATTCGGCTACTGTGGGAATGTGTATAGTCAGGCTTGGAGTGAGCGCTCCATGCATGTGTGTTAGTGGCACTCAGAGATTGGTTGTGCCGCTCTTGTGAGGGTGTGTGGGAGTGGTGTGCTCGAGACACGCCAATCTCGTGAGCAGGTGCGGAGATGAGTTGCACAAGAGAAACATTGGTGGGATGAACCCAAACCTTTATTTTTTTTCTAATATGAATTATCCTTCCTTCTTAGAAAAACATGTTTTGAGTAAAGTTATCTTTACTATAGACATATATTGACAATTAATCAAGTATCAACATCATTGCATGCTTATTGCGTGGAATGTGTGTCCCAATGTTGACAGAAGGTATAAAAAGATTGTCTTGGAATTATTATTTTCTTGGGAAGATATTGCCCTGAATTCTCATTTCTCATCAGAAATTTAGTATCCATTTTCGTTGATCTTATTTGCAACATGTACAAGTCAGTAATAATCTAAGGGGGTGCCCTACCGGAGAAGATTATGATAGTTGGACAAGAAACTTGGTACTGTCGTGCAAGGTAGAGGTAGGAGAAATAGGAGATAAAAGCATGCATGGTGGGAGAAGGAAGTCGAGTGTCGCGTGGTAGCTCAGACATGGAGTGTGGAAGAAAGACAATGACGAGATGTATGTACCTACTAGATCATGACCATGAGATATCATCCCATAAAAATGGCCTTTGACTCTCATGTCACATGAATTTTCTCTTTGTATATATATATTTGTTAGTCCGTGGCAACGCACGGACACTTAGCTAGTACGGAGAGGTTTCCCTTCACCTACAAGATAGTTTGGGTTTTGCTCAGAGAGAAAGAAAGGAAAAACAAGGTACGATCTTGTGCAAGCCACTGAAAACTACAAGGAACTCGGAAGATCATGCCCCTCTTTCATAAGCGAGATCATCAAAAAAGTTTGCCGGCAACCATCTCCCTCTCGGGCCCAACTAGGATGAGGTATCTGTTCGCAGATCCGCTATGCCGGAGAAGGCCGGAGCTTGCTAGAAGTGAGCTTGAGGGCGTAGGGGAGGGGAGAGGAGTGGTTAGGGTTTGGTCCGGCAAGCGAATAGGGACAAATGTATGTGAGGTCGGAGTAGATTGACGCGGGCCGGATTCGACGTGACAGACAAGCCCGAGCACTTTCGGGCCTCCCTATCCGTCCTAAATTTGGGCAGCCCGATCGTTTGAGACCGGTTCGAGAAAACACTTAAGTTGGGTTTTTTTATCAATCGTCCGTCATGTGTTTGAGATGGGTACTAGTCGCCCGGGCATAGATGCTCTAACTATGGATACGTTCGATGCGCTTTCAATGGGAGGAGACGTTCCCGTCGACGACGAGACGCCTACGGTGATTTCGTAAATCTCAAGATGATATGCCGGCTCAGTCTCTCGGAGGTGCTCATAGAGGTAGAGTGTGCGTGTGTGCGTTTATAGGGATGAGTGTATGCGCGTGTATATGAGCGCTTGTGTCTGTACTGATGCTCAAAAAAAAACTATGGATACCCTCACTATCAGTGTTCATTTGGCTCAATGTGGCCACGTGCATGGTGCTCCACGTGCCACTATGGCGGCCTAAGCGTGTGTGCCGTCGTCTACGCGTGGCGTGGACCTACCTCTGTGTATATAAATTGCGCCAAGAACCAAAGCATCTGGTTTCTTCCATCCAGAGAGACCATCAGCGGCTAGCTTCACAGAATCCAGCGGCGGTGACGAATCCATCCATGGTGGAGGACCACCGCCGTGACCGCGCCCGGCAGCGGCGGCCAGGCATGCTCGTGGTGGCAGCGCTCGGGGCTCTCGGCCTCCTCGCCCTCTCCGGCACGGTGCTGGCTGCCTCGGTCGCGGGGCTGGCCGTGGCGGTGCCGTTGCTCCTACTCGCCAGCCCGGTGCTCGTCCCGGCAGCGCTGCTTGCCGCTCTGACGGCCACCGGCATGACCTTTTCAGGCTCGCTGGCCGTCGGGGCGACAGCGCTGCTGTCACGCTTGGGGAGCGCGGTGAGGAGGGCGGCCGCAACCCCGCCGGACTACGTCGAGTTGGGGAAGCGGCGGGTGGCAGAGGTGGCCGGGGAGCAGACGGCGCACATTGACGCCGGACCGGCGATCAGTCCAGAGCAAGTGGCCCGCAACCGCCGGCCATACGGTGGCTCTCACGCCTTTATCTCTTATTAAAATGAATGAATGTATGTATCATCGTGTCTAGCTCCTCTAGTAGCAAGTGCTGTAAGCATAATCCAACGATGTTCATGGAGTACATATATGCAACTATGCAATAAAATTTACTATCATCTCCCTATATGAAATCCATGTTTACTATCATAAATAATCATGTAGTATGAAATTTGCAGTCTCGTTCATGTGTCGATTAATTCACTCACTGTACAAATATTTGAGGGCAATGCTACTAATTTAACGCATATATGGTATCAATATACTATGTACTACATTTTCCTTTATTTCTGCACCGTGTACAACATGAAGAGTAGAGTCGTTTATCACTCACTCTTCTTCACACCTCTGCTTGTTGATGTACCAGTTGTTCCTGTCAAACAAAACCACAAGACAGATAGATGTTCTTCAACATATACGATGCAAATGCCAAATAAATAGATAATAGATCTCATTTCAGGCTTTGCCAAAATACTACTCTCTTTACCATAGGATATACATGCGCAATCAGATCAGAAAAGAAGAAGATATCTAGCTGAAAAGTACCTCGTTGACAAAGAAGGCGTGGAACCCGTAAGGAACCCGGTTCGGCAGCTCGACGACCGCCACCGGATCAGGAGACATGGTCTTGGCATCAATCACATTCACTTCAGACTTCCTGCATCCACAACACAATTCTTTATCTTTTTTTCTAGCAACTATAACCATGGAGCAGCAGCTTAGAGTGATGGCCTATGTATAGGAAGGGAATGGAAGAGTACCCTGTGTTCTCATCATGCACAAAGAGTATCAGGTAGCCGTCATCTTCTTCCCCAGACACACCGGGCTCCTTGGGCACAAAGACCGCCTCCGAGCCGAACCTACCAGGTCCCAGGTCATATATGCCCATCACATTCCCCCCAACCTCAAGCTGCTTCTTGCCGCTCTCTGGCTCGGCGTGCAGGTCGAATTTGATGACGCCAGTCACCTTCGCTATGCTGTCGAGTATCGTGCAGTACACGTACCGCTGCTTCCTGCATTATCACAGAGTAAAAGATCAGAGAAAGCACACGATATAGCTCCAGGAAGAATCTCACTGTAGATGCAAGTTTTATCAAGGGTTGATATACAGTGGTGCTTTATGATATAAGCATCATCATACAAGAAAGGAAACTTATGTTGAAGTTCAAAGCTTCAGCAGAACTACCTGCCGGTATAGCTCTCGTTGATTCGAGGGAAGTCTACAGCAGCGACCGACAGTTGCTTCTGTGAAGCAGCGCCGGTTTTCATGTTGAATCTCATCTCATACCTATAGAAGATGTAAAATTAGGCACAAGCACTGGTGAGTTGCATGGAATTCAAAGTAAAAGTTGAGGTCGCAGGCGTATATACAGCTCATTCCCGAAGTTCTCAAGCTTCTCGTTTTGGGTACCGTTCACCTTGTCCAGATCTGGGTTCTCAAGGCGGCAGGTAATCAGAACAACTTCGTCGCCCTCTTCCCAAGCGTTAGCTGCGACAAGAGATGCTTCTTGTGATCAGTTTGATAAGACTAGCATGGAATGAAAACTACTGATAATTAAATTGTGCAATGCATCGATTGGAACTACTACGTGCTCTAACAAAGTACTAGCAAGAAATGGCATACCATTGTGAAAAATGAAGCAATTGGGAAGTTCAAACCATCTGATGGTTTTTTCATCCTTTTCATAACGCTGGAGTATGCCAAAACGACCTTTCTTTGTAGGGTCGAACTTGTAGATGAATTCACCATTCTTCACCATTTCCTTTGTACAAGAATGCAGAACAATAAGACCAGATTGTGAAGAAGAGTATCCCTTATCAAGTGCTAATGCAAATGCATGACTATCCCATATGCATCTGTGTAGGGCATCCTTCAACAGGATGAAAAGAAATGGTGCAGGAAAAAAAAGTACTGAAGGCATTTATCATTGAGGACATTGCCTGTCAATTGATGGCGTGCATAAAGCATCGCGTACCTTTGGTCGAAACAACAAAGGCAGGTCCATAAATATGGAATAGTTCTCTGTGATTGCAAAGTCATGCATCATTACAGACTCTGGTATTGTTATTGGCACAGGATCAAGCATAACTCCATCCTTGGTGATGACCCGGTATGTACAATAAGGAGGTTCATGCGAGTACCCAAAGGTGAACATTTCATCTGAAAGGATAAACTACATCATTTAACACGATTTTTGTCCTAAAAGAAAGTAAGAAATAGTACGACGTCACCGTAGTGTACCTGTAAATGGATCAACCTTGGGATGAGCAGTGAAAGAATGTTTCAACCTCTTGTCATAATCCAACAACCCAAGAGTTTGCAGGTCTCCATCTTCAAGGACCTTAACAACGTCTGAAAAACGAAAATAAAAACTCATCTTCCACAGTTGCATAGTTATTGTGATGGATGTGGGACTTGTGGATGATAACAAGTTGCAACAAGATGTAATGTAGCGGCCAGCACAACCACAGTTAAGGCCCCCTATCTACAATGATATATATACATGCATATAGAAAAAAAAATGTGCGGAACTTACAGGGTTTATCTGCTTCTGACAGGGCCAGGAGTTTGCCATGATGATATATAAGTGCGGTATTAGCTGGAAAAGAAGGGAACGGATCAATAATATCCCACTAAAATTAAATACCCATGAAAAATATGCAGATATACATCATTCAGTGACTGCATAAGGGAAAGAGGTACCTGTCCCAAATCCATAAGTAACATCCAGGATTTTCAGTTTTTTCCTAAGTGCTTGCATTTGAACCATAAACAATCCAAAAAAGCCCTTTAGATCTCCAATCTGTAAACATCAATACAAGAACTCACACGTGTGCACAACTGATTGCGTATATAGCCATCACTAAACCCACCAGAGGCGAGGAGAGCAGGGTTTTAAATTGATACTTAGTAGCTTTATTAGCCTTGAATTGACAGATGGTATGACCTAAATATTATTCATGACATTATCATGTATTGGTGGCATCAGCCGCAATAAACTAGGTCCACCTACCATACGGTCAATGTAGCAGCCAGAAAGCTAAGATGACACGATAGAGACCTCTACGGAAATATGAGTATATGACAAGTTGACAACTGACAAGATAAGCCATAAAAGAAGAGAATATTCATACTAATAAACTTATGTTCAAGCACAGGCAGCTTTGCAAGCACCACAAGTACACTACAGAAAATTATGGTGGGCATCAGATTAGTTATGTCCACTGTTCAAGAACTCGGCCGAGTTACCATTTAAATGCCCATTTAATCGCTACTCAGTGCCTAACTGAGGCGAGTAGCACGTACTCGTTTCATTAAATGGTCAAGCCGATTAACTGGCATTTAATCGGTTGTCAGACGATTAATTGGTTGTCAAACCGATTAATCAGTGATGGGTCAGGTAACTGAAGCGGCATCCATAAAAAAAAAGGGGGTAACCGAAGCGGCAATCCAGGCCATTATGAGTTGTGAGAACTATTTGAGTATTTGTGGTCAGTGAACCTGTTATGGCGCTGCTAGAAGGAGGGCGCGAGAGGACCGGCCGGGGGCCTTTCTGCCCACGGCCGGGCAAGAGGGAAGGGATTTCCTTCTTAATTCTTGCTTCATTAGATTGATACATCTCCTCTCTTTATATAGAGGTTTACTTGACTCCCAAGCAAGGCTTACTTGACCCCTAAGCAAGCGACCCTTATCTCTAATTAACCCTAAGACTAAAGGGCTATACCGCCAGCCCAGGCCCATTAGCCCCATTATGTACTCTAACACTACACCCCACCTAGACATGCAGCTTGTCCTCGAGCTGCAGCCTAACCAACTTATAACCATGACTCGACGCAACACAAACCTAACACCTAAAAACAAGCCTTTTACATCTCGGCTTGTTTTATTACTCTCAACCTGAAATGGACTGGGATGATTTATTTTGGTCCTCTTAACAAAAAATGGATACCATCCGCACGTCGGACGTGCACGTGTACAACCACCTGGATCCCATGGACACCATCTGGACAAAAGGAGTGCATGTGTATGGCCACCTGGAAGTGGTCGCAAGAGCGACCAGCAGAGGCGTCCTCGCGGCGGCGGGCGGCGGAATGCAGTGGTGCTACGCGGTGCGCTCCTGTCGGTGACACCATGCCTTCTCCCCGCCGGACGGCTGTTGGTCGGCACCGCACATAGAAGAGTGGAGGGCTGTCGATGGAGAATGGCGAGGAGGGGTGCGCCTCCCCAATCGCCCAGATGTCGGCGCCCTCCGCCGCGCCGCCAGCAGCCGCCTACACCCCGGAGGAGGTCACCGGGGTCCTCAACGACCTCGTCACCGCCGTCCAGGGGATCCGGCTGTACCTGGCCAGCCCCTACGGGCCGCCGTCCAGGGGATCCGGCTGTACCTGGCCAGCCCCTACAGGCCGCCGTCCAGGGGATCCGGCTGTACCTGGCCAGCCCCTACAGACCATACCATTTTCTTTGTAGGGTCGAACTTGTAGATGAATTCACCATTCTTCACCCCTAAGCAAGCGACCCTTATCTCTAATTAACCCTAAGACTAAAGGGCTATACCGCCAGCCCAGGCCCATTTTTCCCCATTATGTACTCTAACAGAACCTTATTACCTATTATGCTATTTGTGTTGAACCTTGTAGTGAATTATTCCATGTTCACATGTGTGGCTGCTATTTATCTTGTTATGTGTGGCTGCATATTGCCAAGTTGTGTGGCTGTCATTTTAATTTATCTTGTCATGTTTCATGTGTGGCTTCTTGTTGTCACATGTATTGCTGTCATTTAATCATTTATCTTGACAATGACAAGTTTAGAGCATATACAAATGCATATCTATCATCAATTCTGTAGGTTTGTTGCCTTCCTGTTTGGATGCATCATGATCAAACCATCCAGGTAATAATTCTACCTCTTGTCCATGCTTTTTATAGGCCTACAAGCTACGACATTATATTTTAGTATAAATGTATAATACGTAGCTATGAGCATTGGATTATGTGGTGTACAATACGTGAAAAACTAGTTACATGTTGCCAATATATTCTCATGTGCAGCCGATTAATGATCGACCGATTAATTCAGTTAAATGGCCGATTAACCGATTAATCGCTAATCAGTAGTCGACCGAGCAGTTACCAGTTACCGAGTTCCCGAACAATGGTTATGTCATTAAGAACCAAGCTGATCAGAGAACTCAACCAAGGAAATATGGTAGATTAAAATAGACGTATGTATGATATATATTGGATTCTTCATTAACAGAGCAAAAAATTTGCAAGCATGAATAAGAAAAACAGAACATAGGTGGTAATGGACGCAATCAAGTGTTGCGTAATAATTGAACAACTGTTAAGAAGATTCAGATTTTTTATGAAACTTACCTTCATAAACTTTGCTCCACCAAAATACTCTTCTTGCTTGAGGCGAGAAGTCTTCACGTATCTTGATACATATGTAGCTTTCCCATCTTTAATACGCATTGCATGGATCATTCTGTAAGAAACAATATAGAAGTTGGTGTAACCGAAAAGCAACAGTCTGGAACATAGATTAAGGCTGAATTTTATCACAAAAATCATGAGCTGCAGTAATGAAAACTTGATGCCGAAACATCAAAATTGTGATGTAGTTGAATTTTATGTATAATCTTGCAAGTGTGGGCTTGAAACAGTAACATAAGTGGTATGGTCTGGAAAATTGTACTGAGAACAGGAAAAAAATGAATGTGCAACTAGAGCTAGATCTGCAGTGTTCCAAACAGAAGAGACTGTATTACGTACCCATCCCCATCAAACCTGCAAAAAAGAGAACACAGAATAACAAATAAATTAGAAATGTGACGCTCAATTATCAGAAGCAACAGATGTGACAATGAGCACTTGTGTTACAAAAAAACATTACTACTACCACAACTGAACTTTTTTTCCTGTATACTACCACAATTAAACTGTGTACATCAAAAAGCAGATATGGATACTGTAGTCACACTGTTGAAGGAAGATAACAGCCCGTATTTATGCCCTTAGGACCAGAAAGTGATGTTTAAGAATTGAGATTTTGCTAGCAACTGGTGCATGACCAGCAAATTGTCAACAACAAGTAAGAGTCAATACCAATGATACCCTGCAACAGGGACAAACTTCGGATTAGGCCCCACCCTAACAAATTCTCCATTCAAGCACTCCTGTAGACAACAAAAATGGAACACCATAAGGAAAAGAAAGGATAATCTAGTGAGTTGCATGGCTTCATGAGGAAAAGAGAGTTCGTCAAGGAACTGCTCAGTACCAATTTCTCCAAGAAAAAGTGCATTTCATCATTTTTCAGAAAAAGTGCATGTCATCATTTTTCGTTGTTCTTGCAGGATGCTGGAAAGAAATGTAATTTGCTTCTAGAAGAAGTTTTGAACAAACGGCCAGATCTTGGCCTACCAGACATAGGTCAAACAAGCCAGTGCACATAAGGAATAACTAATGAAGTAAGACTAAAAGATATGTTGGCCACAATAAAAACTGTAAATATGTACTCCCAGGTAGGTTTTTAGCTAGGATTTGGGGTCCCAACATAGCTTTGTTAGACCCAAAAAAAGTAGTACCCCCGAATAATATGAGGTAAACAAGCTACAGCTTGAGCAAAATATAATCCGTGGGTGGTTCAGAACAAGAGACAAGAGTTCTGAGCAAAATCCATGTTAATCCTTGTAACGGTCACACCATAACAACATTTCACATATCACTGTTTTTTGACTGCGTCCCTTCGTGCCAGAGATGCAAAGTGTAAAAAGAAGAAACAGCTATGAAAAGGATACAAACGGACTGGAGAAGAGAAGGGCAGGGATAAAAGATGAGTAGTAATAAGTTTTGTCCGGTGAATAAGACCAAGGTTTTTGACATACAAGAGTGAAGTAATTACAGTTACTCCCCTTCAGGACAACCTGAAGCTTTTAGAGGGCATGCTTGCTGGGCGTTATATACTTAGCATTAATTTCAGGTGTTCTCTGGGTTGACCGAAATGCCTGTTGCTGGCTCCAGAGCATTTCTTAATAAATTACTATGACTATGGATACAACTATTTCATGATGTGGAAGCAGGGCTATGCCTTTTCGTCTTAAAAAATCTATTTCTCATGGTTGACTAACGATGTATATAGTACAAAAAGTCTCAAGTCCTCATCCGAGGAATCGGAGTTCAATCGATTCTGAATCCAAAAGCCGACAAAGACTTGTAGCAAACCACAGCAGAATTTCACTCCACAGTTGAGCTACAGGGGGGAATTTCATCCATCTAAAAGAAGGGATTTTTTTTTCACATCTAACTAACAGAGGGGATCTTTGGTTTTCGACGGCGGGTAAGAAACAATCTGGGACTACTACCTAGACTAGATAGAACACTCGTGTATGCGGTGGGGAAGAAGGATTGGAGAGAGGGGGGGTGCTGACCGGGAGGTGGCCGCGGACGGGGAGGCCGGCGGCGGGCGGGGTCTCGTCGCGGACGGGGGCGAAGTTGCCGGAGAGCCAGTGGAGCGGCTTGGCCTTGTCGTGGCCGAGGCGGACGGCGAGGCGCTCGAGCAGGTCGACCGCCCAGGACGCCACGCCCTTGCTCGGCTGCGGCGCCGGCACCAGCACCGCCCCCTTCTTCAGGGTGTCCTCCGCCGCGGCCACCGCTTCCCCCATGGTGACTACTGGTGGCCACTGACGGTGTGGGTGGGTTGGTTGGTAAAAGAGGGGAGGCCGGAGATGATGCTCAGCGCATTGTTCCCTGGGCGTTGGCTGGGTGGGGGTTTGGTTTGTAGCCAGCCACGCGAGCGGAGGAGAGAGGGACGGCAATGGCGTTAGCGAGAGCCGGCCATCGATTAGTCAGTGGTGCGCCATTGGCCGCGTCGTCCAAATCAATTGCCTCTACAGTCACGTTATTACTGCACGCGTGCTGTAGCTGGTAGGATCCATCGTTCATTTTAATCCAAGGGCTCAATCGCTGTGTGACAAACCTCGCACCGGCCATTAAAAAATAAACAAAACCACACGCCACACTGTTCGCCTCTCCCTGTCTTATGTCCTTCCTCTAGAGAGGTCTGGCCACTTTTATTCCCCAACGCAAGCTTGTACTGCTCCGGCGATGTCTTCCCTTCGTAGGCTCACCTCTTTGCGCTGCTTCTTATCCATCCCCGTGCCCCTATTGCTTCTACCGGCTGCTGCAAGGAATGGCCGGGGGATGAAGGTGCTGCGCGAATCGACCTGGGACGCTGCTGCCGCACAACGGCGAGCTCAACGAGCCCGACGATGACGGCAAGCAGCGACCTGGAAGGGGAGGAGGGGCACGCCTGGGCCGCCGCGCTTCCTCGACCGCTGCGACGCCCTCCATGATGGGCGCCCCAAGATTCTTCGGCCGCAGGAGGCGTCTGACGGCAGCGGCACGTCTCCGGTCAAATCCAATGGAAAAACAGCCCTCCTGTCCGGCCAAGCGACCAAGCCCCAATAGCAAAACCCAATGGTCGTCGCGCAGCAGGTGAATTACTTGCTGTTAGCCTGTTAATTAGAACTGATTTCTTCCTTTCTTCATTGTTTGTTCGTCTTGTACTGCTGCTTTCTTGATGTTAGAAGAGTGAAAGCAGAGCAAGTGAGAGCATGTGATTTTTTGATCATCCATTAATTCTTCACGGCCATATGATTAGTCAGTAGCCAGTAGAGGTACATGCATGTGTACTGAGTTTAATTTCAGTAACTTTGTGGTCACTTGCGTCTCTGTCAAATTATTCAGATCACTAGCTGAAGAAGTAGTGCCCATGCTTATAATCAACTAGTGGGGTACCCCAACTAGTGGTACTAGGCTACTAGCAGTCCATGTTGTATCTGATTGTACACTCTATATGGAGATAAAAAAAACATACTTCGGTACATATCTCTGTAGCTATGTCACTGGAAATATTAAAAATGATGAGCACTCAACATATCAGTGTTGCAGCTAATTGAAATTAAACTGATTGTGCATGTCTTCATAAACCAAGAGTTAACTGAAATTAAACTGATTGGAAATGACGAGCAATCAACGGTCAACTGATTGCGCCTTATGTGTGCTGATTCAATTATCCCTTCTGCATCATCTGTCGATCTAACAAGACAGCACAACACACATGCATCAACCTATTGTCATACCCCATGATAGTTTTGCAAGTCCCAAAGATCACCGGCTTCACTCTGAAATTAAAGGGAGGCATAACTGATTAGACAAGAAATCATATTGCCTAACACTGAATTTAAGGAATTTTAGACATGATAAGTGAAATACCATCAATAAACGAGCATAGTGCCCATACTCTTGCAATCCATTTGCACTTGTTCCAGCCATTTTCTCTTTAGGTGATTGGTATTGTGCCAGTGGAATGTCATTCTCTCTTCTCTATGAAAAGAAAACCGAGCAAATATTAGTCTATATTAGTGTTTTTAGCAAGTACTCTGGTTAGATAGGTGCAAGAGATTTACCGGATGAGTTTGATTTTTTGGTACAACTTTATTTGTCTCCTTCTTCTTTTTATTGGGGTGCTGGTTGTCAAGCCATGATTTCTTTCGTCTCGAATTCTTCTTCGGAATTTCTTTTTTCTTTAGGCAAGCGGCCTGTAGACAATCCTCAGGTTCTTTAGATATATCTTCAGTTGTGCATGTAGTAGTAGGAGCTTTTTCTTCAAGTTGCTTCCTAAGAATCCTCAAAGCATCATCTACTAGTTTGATGCACTCTTTTGATGCAACTGCTTGGGAAGCTATGCCATGGAAATCATGCATGAAAAACTTTAACTGTTGCCTATCTTCCGATCTAGGGTCTTCCAAAACAATGTTTCCATGACTGTTTTGAATAGTTCCACTTCGTGCTTCTCGAGTCCATCGCTTCAAAATATAGTGGCCTGGAAGATATTTAATATTCATGACGTCAAGGGCTTTCAGAGCATGACTACACAATATACCAACTCTTTCAAATTGCCCACAATTGCATAGAACCTTTTGCTCTTCATAGTCTACAAGAACTTTGCACTCTTCTTCATATGAAAATTCTGGGTCAAGACTTGCAATCACAACAGTATAAACATTGTGTTGTACCGATGGCTTGATGTATGCTGAGATGGATCTTTCATATTCATTCTAAAAATCTTCAAATATGTGTGGCGTGTAAACTTTGCTTGCTTGTATTACCATAGGAGTCCTCATTCTGACTCTAGGTAATTTTTTCCTAGACTCATATTCCTCATTTACCTCGTTATCTCTTTTTGTTGGAAATATGCCCTAGAGGCAATAATAAAAGTATTATTATATTTCATTGTTCATGATAATTGTCTTTTATTCATGCTATAACTGTATTATCCGGAAATCGTAATACACGTGTGAATACATAGACCTCAATATGTCCCTAGTGAGCCTCTAGTTGACTAGCTCGTTGTGATCAACAGATAGTCATGATTTCCTGGCTATGGACATTGGATGTCGTGATAACGGGATCACATCATTAGGAGAATGATGTGATGGACAAGACCCAATCCTAAGCATAGCACAAAGGTCGTTTAGTTCGTTTGCTAGAGCTTTGCCAATGTCAAGTATCTCTTCCTTAGACCATGAGATCGTGTAACTCCCGGATACCGTAGGAGTGCCTTGGGTGTATCAAACGTCACAACGTAACTGCGTGACTATAAAGGTGCATTACAGGTATCTCCGAAAGTAGCTGTTGGGTTGACACGGATCGAGACTGGGATTTGTCACTCCGTATGACGGAGAGGTATCTCTGGGCCCACTCGGTAATGCATCATCATAATGAGCTCAAGGTGACCAAAGTGTTGGCCACGAGATCATGCATTACGGTACGAGTAAAGTGACTTGCCGGTAACGAGACTGAACAAGGTATTGGGATACCGACGATCGAGTCTCGGGCAAGTAACGTACCGATTGACAAAGGGAATTGTATACAGGGTTTGATCGAATCCTCGACATCGTGGTTCATCCGATGACAACATCGAGAAGCATGTGGGAGCCAACATGGGTATCCAGATCCCGCTGTTGGTTATTGACCGGAGAACGTCTCGGTCATGTCTACATGTCTCCCGAACCCGTAGGGTCTACACACTTAAGGTTCGATGACGCTAGGGTTATAAAGGAAGTTTGTATGTGGTTACCGAATGTTGTTCGGAGTCCCGGATGAGATCTCGGACATTACGAGGAGTTCCGGAATGGTCCGTAGGTAAAGATTTATATATGGGAAGTCCTATTTTGGCCACCGGAAAATGTTCGGGATTTTTCGGTATTGTACCGGGAAGGTTCTAGAAGGTTCCGGAGTGGGGCCCACCTGCATGGGGGGACCCACATGAACGTGAGTAGTGGGGAAACGCCCCACACCCCTGGTCAAGGCGCACCAAGATCCCCCCTTAGAAGGAATAAGATCATATCCCGAAGGAATAAGATCAAGATCCCTAAAAAGGGGGGATAACAATCGGTGGGGAAGGAAATGATGGGATTTCTTTCCTCCCACCTTGGCCAACATCCCAATGGACTTGGAGGGCAAGAAACCAGACCCTCCACCCCTATATATAGTGGGGAGGCGCATGGGAGCTTAAGACAAGCCAAGGCGCAGCCCCTCCCCTCCCCAACACCTCTCCTCCTCCGTATATGCTTGGCGAAGCCCTGTCGGAGTACTGCTGCACCAACTACACCACGCCGTCGTGCTGCCGTTGGAGCAATCTTCCTCAACCTCTCCTTCCCCCTTGCTGGATCAAGAAGGAGGAGACGTCTCCCGTCCCGTACGTGTGTTGAACGCGGAGGTGCTGTCCGTTCAGCACTTGGACATCGGTGATCCGAATCACGTTCGAGTACGACTCCATCATCACCATCCCCTTGGCTAGCTTCCGCTCGTGATCTACAAGTGGTATGTAGATGCAAACTCTCTCCCTTGACTCGTTGCTTAGATGAACTCATAGATGGATCTTGGTGAAACCGTAGGAAAAATTTTAATTTTCTGCAACGTTCCCCAACAGTGGCATCATGAGCTAGGTCTATGCGTAGTTCTCTTTGCACGAGTAGAACACAATTTTGTTGTGGGCGTGGATTTTGTCATCTTACTTGCCTCTACTAGTCTTTTCTTGCTTCGGCGGTATTGTGGGATGAAGCGGCCCGGACCAACCTTACACGTACGCTTACGTGAGACCGGTTCCACCGACTGACATGCACTAGTTGCATAAGGTGGCTGGCGGGTGTCTGTCTCTCCCACTTTAGTTGGAGCGGATTCGATGAAAAGGGCCCTTATGAAGGGTAAATAGAAGTTGACAAAATCACGTTGTGGTTATTCGTAGGTAAGAAAACGTTCTTGCTAGAACCCAATTGCAGCCACGTAAAAGATGCAACAATAATTAGAGGACGTCTAACTTGTTTTTGCAGCGATTGATCATGTGATGTGATATGGCCAGAAGTTGTGATGAATGATGAATTGTGATGTATGAGATCATGTTCTTTGTAATAGGATTCACGACTTGCATGTCGATGAGTATGACAACCGGCAGGAGCCATAGGAGTTGTCTTTATTTTTTGTATGACCTGCGTGTCATTGAAGAACGCCATGTAACTCACTTTACTTTATTGCTAAACGCGTTAGCCATATAAGTAGAAGTAGTCGTTGGCGTGACAACTTCATGAAGACACGATGA